AAGAGAGAGAAAGAAGAATAAAAGAGATGGGAAATTAAGAAAATGTGAAAAATAAATAAAACAGAACAAAAGGAGAGAAATTGAGTGATGATTGGTTAGCTCAATTAAGACAGAGAGGTGGAAAAAATAGGGGTAGGAGAGTGGTTTTCTTCGGTTACCACTTCAAGGGTAAATCTGATATTTTAAGAAAATTAATGAATTACGTTAGGGTTTTTGGCCAAAAAAAACTAATAAGAATTAGGGAGGTATATACACCATTTTTCAATAGTATAAGGGAGGATCCTATTCATATCAAAACATAGGGGAAATTTATAAGATTGTTAGAAAACTCAGGGGAGGTTTTTGTATTTTATCCTATACCGAAAGTAAAAATATAAGTAAAATGATCGATATGCCTTTATAGGGTGGTTAACATAAAAACATAATAAAGAACACAAAAAACACTATCTAAAGACTCAAAATATATGCTATGGCCCCCACTCCTTGATGCAACAATGAGTGAATACATAATAGCTATGTGACACATGTTCCAGTTATTTTATTATCTTTGTCAAAATAAATAAAAATAAAAAACAACACAAGATGAAAACGTAAAAGAATCCAAACTCCTAACACGTTTAAGTTTTCCTTTTTCATTGTTTTTTTTATTATTTTGACAAAGATAATAAAATAATGGATAATTTCTGTCTAATGAAGCAAAAATGTTTGGATAAGAAACACATTAACTGAAACATGTGTCAGACCAGTTTGTACCTTTCCATCAAAGGAAATAAAAAATAAAATTAAATGAAAGTAACAAGTAAATTCGTACCTTGGCATCCATTGGGGAGATAAGGATTCCCTTTATAACCTTTAAGACAATGACAAAGATATCCAAGTCCATTTGCGGAGTCATGACAGTAGGAGTTCCTCCCGCAAGCATAGTCTGTGGCTGTTCTTTGTGCTTCATTGCAAGTGTTGTTTCTAATTGCCCAGTCAAGTACTATCTCAGTTCTGATCCCAACGTTCATAAGGTATTCGACATCATTTCTTAAACTCCATAAGAAGGATGCATTTGAACTGAACCATTCTTGGTCAGAAAGAAAAGCATAGCTACATTTGCTGATATTCCAGGCGTTGCTGGTTGTGTCGCTGTAGTTTTCAAGCCGTAGAAGAAATGTATCAAGATCCTTTGGTATCGCTGTCTGGCAGCATCCAATGCCATCACAAGATACATTCGTCAACTCCGTGCCATAAGGACAGAATGAAATGCACCCACTCTGGACCTTCGTATAATTGGAATCAGACATGAGAGCAAGTGTGTCACAACCCATAGCCGTGAATTTATTTCTTGTGCTAGAGAATCTGTATACACTTGGCAATACGATGCCTATGCTGTACTCCGAGAATTGGTCTTCTCCCAAGGAACAGTAAACAGCAGCCCACATGGAAAACTTCAGTTGGCCTTGTAGTGATATGTCCAAAACATACTTATTGCCATACTCTCTGAAATTATTCCCATACATCTCCAGCTGAGGAGGGTCAGTGGCTTCGTTGCAAAACAACTTAAACTCATCTCTGAAGCAAGTTGGATCATCTCCTACCAAGCCAAACGGATATGGGATGCTAACGCTCCCGCATTTATTCCGACACCCGGGCTTTGTATCTAACGATGACAACGCTGTAATTGCCATCATCGTTTTTTAGCTGCTGTTGTAACAGAAGCAAACCGAAGCGTTTCCCTAGTTTACTTTATGTTGTACCATATTACTACAATACTGGCGGGGACCCGTGCGGTGCACGGGAAAAGCGAAATACAATTTTTGATAAATTATTGTAATTTATTTAATTTTATGTAATTTATTTAGTTTTATCTTATTTGATAATTTGAAGTATTTATCATCCTAAATTCTATTAATTTTTGGAATTTAGTGGTTATTTTTGCAAATTTATATTAATTTCTGGTAATTTATTTATATGCTAATTTCTTGGTAAATAGATACTAATGTATTATGTCACCTCACAAGGTAGTCTTATGTGATTTCCTTAGATCTGTTACAAATACCACTGAAAAAGTGGCGTGTACCCACTTTCTCGCAAATGATTCGATTTCGTGATATAATTTCTAAATGTGTACTTATTAACTTGGTTACCACGAGCCTAAATATACATGGTGCAACCCTCGGCATATATTTTTTTTAAATTAATTTTCTCATAATCTTTGGCATGTATGTATTAAGGCCTTGTTATAAGTGAATTTATACATTTTTTACCTTGGAAATAGGTATCACTCGGAGATGGGTATCACTTATTCGACTGATATCAAAAAAATTTACTTTTTTGATCTTTACATAAATCTGAAATAAAAATATAGAATTCTTAATCAATAGAAACCAAAATTCCATGGGAAAATGCCCAAGATAATTTATTTGAAAAATGTGAGTTTGTAAAACGGTCTCTAAAAAATTCTTGTGGCTGTGATATGCACACCATCAAGAGAAATATTATCCACCTTGAGAAACAATTGGCTCTGCTGCTGCAGAACTCATCATGGCTGAGTAGGGAGTAATTATATTGGAGATAATGAGCCTGGGTCCAATGCAAATATGATGGGATTGCAATACACGATTTTTTCATGTTCTTGCTTCTAAGAGGAAAAAACGAAATAGTATTACTGAAACATAATGATGGATCGTGGATTTCAACCTTGGAACTAATTTCATCTATGTTATCTCAATATTTTGAAGAGCTCTCCACTATTTCTAATCTTTTTCATAATTCTTCATCTGATGCTAACATTGAACTCCTTTAAGGTCCCATGTCCAGATGGTATACAAGTATGTGTGTATCAGAGGTGATAAAACACTACTTGTGATTTTTTTTTTTTTTTGATGATATCTAGTAATTCAGGTTAAGCATATTTCACTTAGGACTGCAAATAGATTGGATCAAATATGTTATTGGATATCGGATTCAAACGGTTTTCCCGTTTGAGTTGAACAATCTACCCATTCCGACAAAAAAATAAAAAAATTTTAAAAAAGTTAAAAAATTAAAAATTGGTCAAAACCGTCTGAACGGTTAACTGGCCGGTTCAGCGGTTTGTTGACTAAAATCAATGGTTTTGAAAAAAAATGAAACTGGTTTCCAATTTTTTCAGTCTGGTCATCCAGTCTGATCCGATTTTGAAAACCATGAAAATATATGTCTGAAGATTTAAAAGACTTTAGACCAATTGGTTAAAACAAAGTTCAAAGTAGATACAGTGTGATACGCCGATAGGGCATATCAGCCTGTAGTAGCTCTTTTTCTAAGTTTTATTTATTTTTTTAAATATCAATTCAGATAGGTCGATTTAAGTACCGGTTACCCCCTTGAGCCAGCCCTGATTCGATACAACTCTATAAAGATGTACCGAAAAGAGATAAATACAATACATATCGACTGATACGGGCCCATACATAACAATTTTTTAAACCTTTGGATTAAGCAACATTCTTTACAAGGTAGATTGCTTTTACCTCATGGTGTGCCTGGGGATGCGGGTCTGCTTTGAAAAACCCAGGCCTCTACATCCTTATAATATATTCAAAACATAAAACAAATATTTTCAAAGATTCCAACCTTAAAATTATCAAATAGCTTCATTAGATAGATATGCTTTTTTCTTCTTTTGTCTTTTGTGCAGACAGATCTTGAAAAGCACAAAAGTTGCTTTCGATATTTTAGAGTTCAGATTTATTAAGCACCACTAAAGCATATTTTATAGCATATGTCTTATTTTGTAATTTCCCATTTAAAGTTAAAATAAAAGAAAATCATTTTAAAGCAAATTCATACCTTGGCACCCATCAGGGAGATAAGGATTTCCAGTATAACCTTCCATGCAGTGGCAATGATATCCGGTACTTTGATTGAAATTAGAGCAGTAAGTATTGTTTCCACATGCATAATTATCTCCTTTATCACATGTCTTCCTTTCAATGGACGAGCCAGTTGCTTCATGTAAAATAAATAAGTTTTCTCAAAATAATTTTAAATTAAATAAACGAAAATTTGTGTGGTTAGTATCATTTAGACAATACAACTGTATAAGCTAGATAAAGAATGGGCACTTCATTTCTTGTGTGTTTATTAGGACCAATGTTTTTAACCCGCCCTTGACTCTCAACAGTCAAACTGTCACGGATTAAGATTTTGGGTATGGTTTTCCTAAAATCCGACTTTTGGTAAAACATCATTCGATTAGGCATTCATTCATTGACTTGTTTAACTTAGGGTCCGTTTGGTTTATAGTTAGAATCGGAATCGAAAATCTTTAGAATCGGAATTGAATTGGTCCATTCCTATAGTCTGTTTGGTTCAAATAAGAATGAGAATGGAAATTAAAATCAGCAAGAATTGGATTTCAATTTCACAGGAGGGCAGGGAATAGCCATTCCCTCAAATGGGGGAATGTCATTCCAGTAGGAATGGAAATGGGATTCCGATTCCGCCCAACCAAACAATTGGAATCGAAATAGCCCATTCTAATTTTGATTCCAGACCCCTATTCCTGCAAACCAAACGGACCCTAATGTATGAGCAGTATTGTTTAAACCATAATTTTGTTCTTAGCTATCCAATTGGGGTGATCTTTATATTGATTTGGAGTAATTTTTTGAATTTTACCTGTCTTAAGGAGCCAAATGTACATTTTGTTGATCCTACGTATTTCAATGATAACAAATCCATTGAGAGTGTGCTAATGGTTTGTACTAAGTATGGAACTATTCCCATTGAGCTAAAAATGAATAACAAATGTTAAATGAAACAAAGGCAATATGAAACATTGGGCTATTGTCAATCTTTGATGAATTTCTCTAGAAAAAAAAAGTCATAGGCTATGTTTAGTTCACTACTCTAGGCCTCATTTTTTTAATTTTTTTCATTCTAAGCAAAAATGGACAAGAATTACTAACATTAGAGTGTTTGGTTAAAAAATTCTTCCCATGGGTTTCATTATTTTTAAAATGAAAAATCAACCTATAGTACAAAATTTGACACATCTTGCAACATGAAAAATAATCATGCCACATCTTACTCATTGTTATTCTTTAAAGAAACTCTATATCATTGGTTGTTAATCACCATCTTAGGTTTACGAAACCACCAACATAATTGTTTATTGGTGGACTATCAGGAAAATTTATGTTAAAGGGCATTGGTCGCCGACCATCCATTGGAAAACATTTATGCGACTATTTTGGAAACCTAGGTTAGCAGTTTATGACTGCTAACACAATGTTGATTAAGAATAAAAATAAGCAACATTAGGCACTCACCACTTTGAAAAGAATTCATTTTTAAGATAAAAGTGTTTGGTTCACAGTAATATTTTCTCATTCTACTCATTTTTACCCATTCCTATCCATTTTATAATTTTATCTTGGGTAAGAATGAAAACAAAAATGAGAATTGAACCAAATATGACCTTAGCTACCATTACATGAAAGAAGAAGAACAAAATTGAAGTCCAAGAATCTTTTACTATAATATATCTTGTCTTTGACTTATTATAATTCAAAAGCTTGGAGTGCACACAATAAGCTTAATGCTGACAAATCTTAGTAAACTAGAACCTTAGAGACTAATGGTTAGAATATGTCTAGTTCTTAGGTGTTCTTGAATTTAAAATTTTGCTTATTAGAAGCCTAAGGGATAAATTTTTTGACAATTGAGAAGAATATATGCAAGGTTCTAAGGTTTTGACTAGTAAGGAGTCAACCGCCCAACATGATGAGCCAACTACCTTTGATAGTTGAGACATGTATTAAGAGGACAATGTTGATGAGTCGACTACTCATTCTAAAGAGTTGACCACCTAAAGTGTTGAGTTGACTACCCTTCATTGCAAAGAGTTGTGGTCAAGTCATTAGTTATCTAATAGAGTGGGATTAGTCAACTAATAGAGAAAAAAGAATGCCACCCATAACTAGTAGTGAACAAGTAGTGAAAATTTAACCTTTTGAAGGCTAAATGGTTAGTTAATTCATTTCATATGCCATATATATTTTAGGGATAAGTTAACATTGCTAAGAATGGCTTGAAGCAAACTCAATGACACTCTAGTAGTCATAAGGTCTTAACATCTATAAAATAATATTTGTGATGATCCTATGTGTTTTGATGATAACAAACTCATTGATAGTACTAAATGTATATCTAAATATGCAGTTAACCTTTATTAAACTTCTCTATGTCAAAAATGTATTAAAGATAGAATGCCATAAAAGATGAAGTGGAAGCTTTGTGGTGTTGGTTGTTTGCAATTCAAAGTTGTCAACACCACCACCACCACCACCACCACCACCATCATCATCATCATCATCATCATCGTCACTCATACAAGGAAAATCCAAGCAATTCAATCATCAAAACTAATGAAGAACTTAAATGTTCTTGAAGCTACTCAAAGAACACTTAAATGTTCTTGAAGCTACTCAAAGAACATTTGATTCAAATTCGGAATTACATTTAACAACATTACATCAAAACTAATGAAGAACTTAAATGTTCTTGAAGCTACTCAAACAACATTTTATGGTGCACTTACTAGATGCTTTATAGGATAGAACTCAGCCAATCAACCTTAGAAACCATAAACTCAAATATAAAAATCAAGAAAATACATGTGTATACACCTCTTTTTGTACCCTTTAGTCTTTCTGCATCACTTCAAACTTCAAGCATGGTTCAACTAACCTCTCATATTCAATGAAGTATTAAATAGTGTTATTACCAAAAGTTAATAAATACCGTTAGTAAATTATCAAAAATTAATAAACATTGTTATTAATTAACTCATTAACAACATTTTATAGAAATTGAAAACTCTTTATCTAATTTCTATAAAATTCGGAATTACATTTAACAATTACCAAAAAGTATAAAATTTATTTATTGTTGTTATTATAATTAATAACCAAATACAAATGAGAGAACAAAATATTATAATGTTAGAAAATGAAATTATTAATTAATTTATATTGAAAAATAAAAGATAAATTATTTAATAATAATTTAAAATAATTCAATAAATCCACATAGTTATACAAATGTAATAAAATTTTCAAAAATATTCATAAAACTACATTTTTGTAAAATAAAATTTTTGAAATTAAAATATATAAAGTATGTGAAAGTTTATTTAAAATGCAATAAATAATTATTGAAAATTATTAGAATATTTTGGAAATTTTAGGAAAATTTATTACATTTGATAGATTTTGGAAAACCATTGAAAATTTATGTAATTCTCATTGCAAATTATTGAAAATTATTAAAGATAAATGACTATGGGAAATGGAAAACTATAATTTTAATAAATAATTACACAAGTTATTAAGAAAAATTAGTATAATATGGGAAAAAGGAAATTATTGGCTAGTTTATATTAAAAATTATAAGATAGATTAGTATAATTCTATTACTATTTAAAAAGAAAGTAAATTATTTAATAAAAATTTAAATAAATTTGAATATATTTTCAAAATTACACACGCACAATAAATTTTCTAATATTTTCATGAAATTACATTTTTGAATATTAAAGACAATTTAGTGTACTTTTAGAAATTTACCATGTGGTTGATACTCAATACATCCTTTTGATCACTTTTATCATCAAATTGAATATTGGGTTGACGAGGACAGTGTTTTCAAAACTGGATCAAACCAGATGGTTAGACCGAAAAAATTGGGAACCAAACACTGTTTTACCTCAAAACCGTTTTTTGTCCAAAAACTACTTATTTCATTAGTGAACCACTGAATTGGGTAGTAGAATCGTCAACCCAGATAACAGTTTTGGCCTTTTTTTGTTTTTCTAATTTTTTTGTTAAAATGGGTCATCGTTTGACCTTAGAATGGTTCCGTATCCGAACTAATTTTAAAAACCTTGGACAGGGAGTGGGTGTCTTGCCTTGAGTTTGGCTTGGTGTGTGGCATGGCCTGGCCCAAGGCCCAACCCAATGGATCAGCCCAACCCACGGCACAACATGGGCCTGTATGGGCTCAAGTCGTGGGCCGTGTCGAACCGCCCCCCCACCCCAAATTATCCTAGATGAGGGAGGCACGGCCTGAGATGCCTCGTGGTCTAGCATGGGACAACTCGCACTTTATTTAGGCCACATGTGGGTCGTGTTGTGCTAATCCAATACGACCAAATTTACACCTCTACTTAAACTTGCTCAATATTGGGGATGGGGTAGGGAAATTTGAGGATTCTCTATCATTGATGCGGAGTGGGGTGCCTTGCCCCTGAACTCACTCGACATTGAGGAGTGGTTACCTTGCCCTGAACTTGCATGACATTGGAGACGGGGCAAGGATGGTGTGCCCTATTCTGAACTCACCCCGTTGTTATTCCTATATAATTGTTAATTGTTAGTGAAATTAATAAAAATGTTAACTTTTATAATTATTTTTATTTATTTAAAATTAATCAAAACTTCATTTGAAAATAATAAAAAGAATAAAAATTCTTATAATTACTACAAATTATTAATAAAACTAAATTTATTAAAAAATATTTATTTATATTCAATTAACAATAATTATTCTTTTATAAATCAACACAAAATGAAAAATAAAATTATTAAGTCTTTCAGATTTTACCGTATGCACGGGTCCCTGCTAGTTAATTAGTAAAGAAAAGAAAAAAGATATAATGTACAGGGGAGGGGCTCAATGGAAGAAGCCTAAGGACAAGAGAATCCCGGAAAGAACTCAATTAACCAAATCGAATCCCAATTCAGTTCCAACAGGCCAAGCCAACACTAGTCCAACACAACAAACACATATCGCCCCAAAGAAGGAACCAGCAGATCAAAGCCGATAAAAGTAAAACGACAAAAAATCAGAAAACCAAAGGGCTTGTGCTTTTGAGTTTTGAAAGCACAAATCCTAAAACATATTCAAATGTAATTCTTGAATTGATCAATTAGTCATCTTTTCTTCTTAATTTAAAATTCTTGATTTGTGGATTCATACCTTGACATCCATTCGGGAGATAAGGATTCCCATAGTAGCCTTCCATGCAATGGCAAAGATATCCACGACCATTTGTGGAATTAGCACAATAGGTGTTCTTTCCGCAAGCGTAACCACTCGTTCTTGCTTGTGCTTCCTCGCAAGTCAGATTTCTAATTGCCCAATCGAGTACTAATGGACTTCTGATCCCAGTTTGTAGTAGGGACTCCACATTGTTTCTCATATTCCAAAGGTCAGACACATGTGAAGTTATCCAATCCTGGTCCGATAATAGGGAAATCGCGCATCTGCTGATATTCCAGGTATGGTTGAAGTTGTTAGAATTCAGTATGTAGGAATAGTAGGAATTGATATCCTTCGGTATTGAGGTCTGGCAGCATCCAAGACCAGCGCAAGGTAAACCCGTCACTTTGGTGTCGTGCACACACTCTGAAATGCAATCGACGTGGAGCACGAGAAAATCATTAGGGTCAACGACAAAGCCATACATGTCGCAACCGATTGTCGTGTACCTGTTTCTTGAATCAGAGACCCTGTACGCATTTGGAAGTTTGAGAGTTGTCTCATTCGCTATCAAAACTTGGCCCAGCCCCATGAAACAAAGAACACTTGCTCCAATGGTGGTCGTCAGTTGGCCTTCAAGCGATATGTTCAAGACGGGCAGATCATCTTTTGTCTGCAGTGGAGTCTGATTCGTTGTATTGCATATCAACTTGAAGTCTTCGTCCAAGAAACAGTTTGGATCCTCTCCAACTCCAAACGGGTATGGGATGCCGAGGTTTCCGCACTTCTCCTGGCAACCAGGCTTTGTCTGGGAAATTTTCGACGCTTCCGCTGCCGCCTCCTCAGTCATCAAAAGTTGCAGTAAGATCAGTTGAAGCAACATCAGCCAAAGCATCTCCTTCTTCCCTCTTTCTTTTCTTCCGTGTAATTGTTTGATAAGAAGATAATTGGACAGAAGGAATGGTGAACCCTATCTTTCTATCGTTAAGTGATTTAAGTTTGTTGAATTCAAATATTTATAGATTTCATCAATACTAACAATAATAAATAATTATTTTCTATTAATATTTAAGCAATTTTTATTTTACTTTATTATACTTTTAATTAATTTTTCATACTTTTTAATGGATGCACCCTTTCTCTACCCGATCACAACCGGCTTTAAATACGTTGTTGACTTCTTAGGCCAATTCTCTATTTAGCCCATAAATGATAATATGAAAATATGGAGATATTTTCAAACGTACAGCTGTAATGAGGCGTGATTGCGTGAATAGGTATAGCCGTATAGGTAGGAGACCTAAATTCGTTTTGTAACAGATGGATCAAGCATCCCAATGGGCCCATCCATTACTATTCCATTTGAGTTCCCAAACTCCACATGTCCGATAGTGTTCTCTTGGTCTTATATCTCCGGGTCTTGATTTAACTGCATTCCTTCTTAGCATTTTCATCACATCTCAATATTATCACTCACCACCTATCTTCTATCTTCTAGTGAATAGGATGAGTTAGTCTGGTTTTAACCTTTTTTTTTTTTTTTACCTTTAATGTTGCTTGATTCATCATCTCCTTCTTATATTTTTTATGTTTCCAGCAATGATGGATTGGAGGTTTGTTGCTTATAGTAAATTTCACCCTAAAATCAAATTGAAATTCCTTTTACTTCTGTAAATAAAACTGATAGAAATAACTCAATTTAGACTTCAAACTCTAAAAGAGAGATCAAATTAATGTTGAAACGCAAAAGGAGACCAGTTTATAAAGGGTATGTATGTATTATACGTGTGTATATGTATGTATGTATGTATTTCTACTCATTATTTTTTTATAAAGGGTAAATTATAAATTACCACCCCATACTATGGTATATTAACACAAAAACCCTATAAACTTTCATATTCCAATACTTTGCCCACTCCCTGTTAAATGGAATAATAAAGAATGTTAATTTACTAAAGTTCCCTTTCAGGATTCATATGGGCAAAGGATGTCGTATCAAAAATGAAAAGGATGAACAGGGCAAAGCAACTAATATCACTTTCATCAACAATGTATTCATGATTAAACTGATTTATGCTTGAAAAGGATAAATAAATCACTTTCATCACTTTCATCAACTA